ATTTTAGTTCTACATATTCTAAGGATTGGAGTATATATACTTAATTGGGCCCCACCAGACCTAAATTTAACTGCACTTCACAACTAGATGGCTTATGAGAAAATATATTTTCACTCACTTAAAATAATATATCCTCAAACTCTATAGATAACCTTCCTAGTAACTCCTGATATATGTGACTTACCTTTTAAATACTGAAATATGATTCCCAGAAATCCTCCTAACAGCTAAAACAACATTCTTATCCTCCTCAGATTAAACAAAGTAACATTATAAAACTTGCTTATATTTTTAAAGATTTCTTCTTTCAATTCTCATTTCTCCAGAAATAAAAATCTTATCAATCACACTCTGAAACAAAAATTTTACTATAAGGCTGGGGAGATAGCTCAGCACTCTAAGTGCTTGCTTGGCAAGCACAAAGACCAAGGTTCAATCCCTGCTACCGCATGTCGTGCCAGCCTTGAAATCGGGCGTGGTGGCACATGCCTGTGATCTCAGTGCTGAGGAGGCTGAGACAGGAAGATCACCATGAGTCCAAGCTGCTCTGTACCAAATGAATAAGTAAATTTTTCTTTTTATTTATTTCTGTATTTTTTTGAGAAGGGTCTACAGGGTACTCAGGGTCTCACTACTAGATTGAACTCATAGTGATCCGCACGTTTACATCCTCCCAAGAGCTGGGATTACAGGTGCATGCCACCACGCGCAGTCTCAATTGCCATCTCAGTGTGCCCCAGAAGCCCAGCATGGCCGGCCAGGGGATCAAACCCCCGGCCCCTGAGCCTGCTTGCAGGCATTTTAATCTGCCGAGCTATTTGGCTAGGCCTAAGATTTTTTTAAATTAAAAACAAATTCTACTATAAAAAATGAAATTTAACTATTATTCTCTTCCTTTTTCAATTTCAATATAGTATGCACAAATGCTGGGAGCATGAAATTTGGTGCTTGGAATCAAAGTCTAGTAAAAATGGTGGTATAATACAAAGAAGTGAGAGGCAAATGATTTTTTCTATGACAAAAGGCTTGAGAAGATAAAACTGTAATAACATTCAGTTGTAACTGTTTTTCTTGTTTAAAAAAAAAAATGTAAAAAGCCACACAAGAAATTTAACTTATAAAAAGCTTATTAGTGTTTTTTAAAAGCTTTTAAAACTTTATGTTGTGCATAAATCTTAAGTGCATTTTTACATACATATACATGAAGATTCAAACTTAAAACCAGATCTGAAAGTTTTATTGGAGAGGAAAAATCAAGCAATTAAATATGCTTCAGACAGATAGTGAGGTTAAGCTTAACAGCCTACGTTGTATGGTAATAACAATAAGCTTCTCTTCTGGAGGGTTAACAACCTAAGTTTGCAGACCAAAATTAGAGAAAAAGTTGGGCTGCAAGGACAGCCAACATTTTGGCCCTAGCCTTCCAAAGTCAATTCAGACTCAGGACATATGAGAACTTGTACTGTAGCATCATGTAACTCGGTAGTGTCCCAAATTTTCTGATCAAGGAGATTATGGAGCCAAAGAGGAAAGTGATCGATGATGTAGAGTGTGCCTAAGGAGAGTCACATGGAGAGAAACATACTCCCAGGTTTTCATAGAGAGCAAATTGGCCAAGCAATGGCCCTGACTCATCCACATGGCTGACACTGACAAAGGATCTACAATCTGAGGTACAGGATCTCAGGATAAATCCTGAGGGGATTTCACTGACCTTATCAGATCCAAAAGCTACAACTTTTGTTGCATAGGTCTTGCTTTATCTTGGTTTTAACCATCTAGCAGAAAAGTATAAAAACAAAGTATAAGAAGTAAAGCCATGGTGTTATGTTCAGCTGTAAGGGACTCTTGTCAACAATTTCTGACACTTCCAGTCAAGCAGAAGACCCAATACTATTATGGACTACTGGACTCTTAGAATATTTTGCTGAGTTAACACACCTATAATATTCAAATGACGGAACTAAACACACCTATAATATTCAAATGACGGAACTAAACAAAAAAGGGGATACAGATGAATGTCCATTTTGTATTTGTGTATTCAAAATGGTTAGGATAGATATATAGTTACATTCTCTTAATGAATAGAGGGATTTGTTCTAATAGTGTTTGTAAATAGGATATCATGTCTGCATCTTGTACAGCACATAACCACTAGGAAGACAGTATGCAATGTGTTAATTATTGGAACTGTCCTACCAATTTGATTTGAAACTGTCTCAGTGCCATTTGTTTCTCAATAAAATTATTTTTTAAAAATTTTTTAAAAATATGCTGCTCTTCTAATTCAAAAAGTTGTCATTTTATTCACTTAAATTTTGTTTTCAGGGGCCAGGGAAATAACTCAATAAAATAAGCACTTGCCTACCATGCGCAAGAGCCTGAGTTCAATCCCCAGTTCAATGCATACAAAAAAAAAAAATTATTTTCATACCTCAAATTCATCTTGAGTGCTCTGAACATTGCACCACCTGGCAACAGGTTCAGGAACCACCTCCCAATCCTCGCAGACTTGTTTTAGGATATTTACAAACGTTGACTTCCCTGCAGCTGTTACAGGAGGAAAGGTAAAACTGAGACAAGAAATGTCAGGAAAGAAAAGCTAGGAAAAGTAAGGGAAATGCAAAGCAGGCATCTACAAATATTACTTTGTCCATTAACAGCTTATGTGAATTGTCAAGTAAGGTGAAGAGGGCAAGAACAGTGTAAGAGCAATAAAAATAGTAATTGACAAAGCTTCACAGTAAGGAAGACAAGAATGGTGACAACATTCCATCTAAGTACCAGCCATCATAGGGAAATGGAGCCCCAGGTACCAGACCTTCAGAGGTTTTTTGGGAGTCAACATTCTATATGCATATGAGAAATCTCAAGCCTATGCAGTCATCAGTTTACCGTGCCTTTCATTGTTGGTAACAGGGAGTCAGGGAGGACTTTTTATCTGGGGATAATACAACTACATTTGTATAGTGAATGACTGCTCAGAAAAGAGTTAAGACAAGCTGAAGATGGAATGACACATTAAAAACTTCTTAGCTCTGCACAGTGGTGAATCCCTGTAACCTCAGCAGTGCCAAGGTTGAGGAGGGGAATTGCTGTGAGTTTGAGGTCAGCCTTAACTACAGAGTGAGACCTTGTCTCAAAAAATGAACAAAAAAATAAACAAAGCAAAACTGTATTAGGAGGTGAGAAGATTAAACATGCTGGGTGGTGGGGAATGGATTTCTGGATGTGATATATTACCTAACTGTACTCGAGAATGGGGATTATCCACTCAGGTGCTGATCTAGGGGATATATGTTCAAATTTTCCTTTAAGATAGCCTTGGTTTCTAGTTTCTTCTGTTTATATATGGTATTTAACCACTAATAGGCTGTGAGGAATCATCCTAGCAAACACGCATCCTCAAAGAACCTCCACTGCTAAGGAAATAAGGGCCTTTCCCACTGATGTCTGTAAACCGAAACAATAAAATAGGCCCTCTTTGCAGGAATTTTCGGCTTTCTTCTAGTCTTCTAAATGCCTAAAGTGCCAGCTTATCTTGTGTTTTCAATGAAGGACACTGCTTTAAATGTGCTAAGAATGATAAACCGTTTGCTGTAATGCATGAATGGCCAGTACCCAAGCTACAGCTAAAAAAGTAAAACTATCAAAACAGGAAGTGTCAAGGGTAGGCTTCTTACAGTAGAAAATACACAAAAATAAGTATCCATATTCATTCTGCAAATCAACACCTGTAGTGGAGAGTTAAAAACAGAAAGGACAGCTGTCTTTGGGCAATTCAGTATTTACTTGGATGTGGGGATGAGATGAGAATCTTGGCTATTAAGATCACTAAAGGGGCCAGGGAGATGGCTCAGTAGAATAAGTGCTTCCCTGGCAAGCGCAAGGGCCTGAGTTCAATCCCTGATTCCGCAAAATCAATTAATCAATCAATCAATTAGTAAAAACCTTTTTTCTTGTATCTGAATATTTACAGTACTTTTATTAATAATCACTAAAATTTGGAAACCATCCCACAAGTACACAACTACAGACTCAACTGCAGTACCTACATGCGATGAAGACTGCTCGTCAATAAAAGGGCCACGCTACAGAAGCAAGAACAGGAATGCACCTCCGGGGCACTACGCTAGACGAGATCAGCAGACCGCGCCCGCTGCTCGGCCAGGCAGATAGAAGCCGGCGGGTGGACAGAGGCGCTGACCCGCAGGGCAGGTTACCTGCCCCGCTTCCGCTCCCGCCCAGGAGGCCCCGCGCCGCGCCTCGCCCACCTGAGCAGAGCAGAGCAGAGCAGAGCAGAGACGCAGACCCGCGCCGGGCGAAGGCGGAAGGCGGACAGAGTGGTCAGAGGCTGCCCCGCGGCCTACCCAGTGGCTCCTTACCGATGTTCCCTTCAATGGAGACCTTCTTTATGCGGACACCCTCGGAGCTGGGTGCGGGGGACGGGTAGACTCTCTTGGGCGGCGTGGCCATTCCTGTGGTGCGCGGCCAGAGGACAGGAAGGGGGCAAGCACGGAGCTCGCGCATACAACCCCAAAGCCAGGGACCTCGGTGCTAAGGCCCAGTTTGACTTTGGCGCGCGGAGGCAGCTCCGAAGGGCGGACCTTGGTGCGGCCCCGCCCACTGCGCGCGCTTTCTTCACCGACCCCGCGTTCTGCAGCCGGCGCCGTGTGCGTGCGTGCGTGGTCACGTCGAGTCATTGCGTTTGCGGAGCGGGAGACTCAGCAGTTCTGAGAGCGGCGGCACGCGGATTGGAGAGCTGCTTCTCTGCGGGCTTACGGTTGGGACGCGACAGGAGTGGAGTCTGGCTGCATGCCGCTGTGCCGCAACCCCGAAGCCGGCTGAGTGGCCTGCGCCGGTGATGCCTGTCAGGGTGGGAGCCCGATGGCGCGGTAATTCCAGAAGCGGTGCCGGGCCTGACCGGCTCTAGAGGCGTAGGAGGGAACAGTTGTCTATGGGAGCAAGGCCCTGCTGCGCCTATGTAACTTGCAACTAGCCTGCCTTGAGACGCATCTTAAAATGGGTGTGGGGGAGGAGGGGGTAAGTGGTGACTCCATTTTTAAGAATACAGAGCAAAAATTAAAAAGAGCCCATGGGGAACACGGGTGAAATGATAAAAATTGTAACTTCCACGTTATTTTATGCCATTTTATGAATATTACCTATTGTCCCCACATTTATAAGCAGCTAGACCCCTTTAAAAAGGGCCTGAATAATTGTCATCAGGTATGTGAACTGGGGGAAGGTGCAGGGAAGCTAGTAGAGGTCATTCCACACCCAAACATGGGGAGAAACCCATAAAATGAACTGTTACTGAAGTTACTGAGTGTCTCCGTTACTTTTCTCATTGCTGGCCCAAAATACTCAACACCCACAATTGAAGAAAAAATTTATTTAGCTCACAGTCTGTGGAGGTTTCAGTCCATACAGTTGGCTCCAAGGGAGAGTGGCACATGGCAATGGTAGCCTTTCATGGCAGCACAAAACAGCAAGAGCAAAAAAGGCAGAAGCAGCACAGAACAAAGCCTCTCTTCTTACCTTATAACACAGATTACCCACACCAAGGCAGTAGTAGCACTCACATCTATAACCCCTCCCACTGGATCATGAATTACTCTAGAAGCCACCCCATTGACTGTATGAGGCTCTGGGGGGGAAACCTAAATACAAACCATAACATTCCACCTCTGGAGTCTCTCCAGCCTGAAAGACTCAGGTACATCCCTTTGTACAAAAAGCATTTTAGTCCATCTCTTAAGAGTAATCAAAGTCCTAACAGTTTTTACAGTTTCAACATTGCTGAAAAGTCCAAGTCCCAAGCCTCCAAGACCTCATACAAACTCTTTGCTATAAGCCCCTGTACAGATGAAAAGTTTAAATACTTCCAACATTGAATGGCACAAGGTACAGTCCAAAATCCCACAGGGCAAACACTAAATCCTATAGTTCCATATGGAACAGTCAAAGCAACCTATAATGAGTTGTGAGCTCCAAAGGCCTTGTGACTCCATCCCTCTGGCACTTCTGGTGGTTGCAGCTCCCATGGTTTCTCTTGGGTCTGCTTTGCTCCCTTCTTGCAGCTTTCCTCAGACAATCCATGTTCTTGGCTTTTCCAAACTTCTGGGGTCTGCACTGCACTGTAGGCATCTCACTCACACTGCCCTCCCAGGGGAACACAGCCTGGCCTCCCAGGCCTTCTGAAATCTGGCCTCCCAGGCCTTCAGAAGCAGCACAGGCCTTCTTAACCTCAGAACTCTTGCATTCTGCACGCATCCATAACCGACATCATGGATTATGCCAATGTGTGCTGCCAGCTGGAGCAGTAGCCAGGCTTTCTGCTCTCTTGGCTATAGAGCTCAAGTGCCTGGATTGCTGAGCACTCTGAACCTGATTCTGAGGAACAAGTTCTCTGTAACGCCACCATTTTGGAAGCTGGTGCTCTGTGGCTTTCTCCTCTAAGCAGTCTTTCACTTTTGCAGTTTTGAGGCTGTAAAGCTGAGCAAAGGCAAACCCGAGACCTTCTGGTGGAGGAAGTTCCACTATAATCATTAAGTTTTGGAAGTATGGAATGAAAAACATTACAGAAACATAAAGACCATAACAAAAAAAAAAAGAGCCTTCCACCCAACTTCATAGTTTTTAGAACTACAAGTAAGAAAATGTTAAGCACTCAGCCAGTCAGAGTACTTCCTTGCCAGAAATTTTACTACCCCTTTAGTTTGGGAATTTCTCCCCCTATGCAAACTAAAGAAAACAGAGTTGTGCACTGGGAAGACTAAATCAGGTCAGTTTGAACCCATGAGTGAGACCACATCTCAAAAAATGTCCTGGGGCCAGCAAGATAGCTGAGCAGACCAAGCATCTGTGCTGAGGCAAGCACAGCGACTGGGGTGTAATCTCTGGCATCACATGCCAAGCCAGCCTTACCCGGGCGTGCTGAGCCAGCAAGTGAGTCAGGGCATGGTGGTGCACACCTGTAATCCCAGTGTTGGGGAAGCTGAAAACAGGAAGATCACTATGAGTTCGAGCTGTATAGTGAGACCCTGCACAAAATACAAACCAAAAAAAAAAAAAAAAACTCTTGTTAAGATAGGTTTATTAATAAAACTTGAAAAACCCACTCAGAAAATGAAAATGGACTGGGGAAGATAGCTCAGTGGAATAAGTGCTTGCCTGACAAGCACAAGGTCTTGAGTTTGATCCCTAGTACCACCAAAAAAAAAAAAATGGCAGAACAAATAAAAAGGCCCTGAACACTGATTTGTCCATACCACACCAATATTTCTGTGTAATGTTTAGTAATCAATGTAACTTGGTTATAAATCTCCCCTTCACCCTTCTTCACTGTCTAGGAAAGGGATTTAGAAGTCACCATAACAAAACATGAGTAGGAGTCAGGATGCTTTTGATCTGAAATGTGAAAGCAAAAATGAACACACTAGAAGAGCACAGGAGCCACAGCTCAACTAAAATAGCTGTATTTTGTTGCTTTCTTATAAAGGTGAACCAAATTCATTTGCAAAATGTGACTCGGAACTCATTTTGTTTGAAACAAAAACTGCCCAGTGTAGCAGTGTACACCTGTAATCCCAGCACTTGGGAGCTGAGGCAAGAGAACTGCTCTGAGTTCAAGACTCCCCCGGGGCTAATACCAAAACCAGGCATAGTGAGACCCTGTCTCAAGGGGAAAAAAAAAAAAAAAGAGTGCATTCACTGAAACAAAACTATAAACTGTGTTGATGGTGCATATGCCTTTAAAATTCAGCACTTGGGATCAAGGCCAGCTTACAGTACAACTTAAAGACTAACCTTAAACTACATAGCAAGACTGTCTCAAAAAAACACAAAAGCATATACAATCTTTTGGTAAAACTTCCACCAAGCATGTCTGTTTAAAACTTAAAGGGATAGTTAGAGCTTTAGGAACAGATTTTTTTCAAATCAAACATTACAGATTTGACATTCATGAACCCAGGTCATGGGTTCAAACTGACCTTCTGATTCAGCTTCCCCAGTGCACAACGCTATTTTCTTTAGTTTGCATGGGGGAGAAATCCCCAAACTGAAGGGGTAGTAAAATTTCTGGCAGGGAAGTACTCTGACTGGCTGGGTGCTTAATGCTTTCTTACCTGCAGTTCTAAAATCTACAAAGTTGGGAGGAGGTTTTTGGTTTTGTTTTGTTTTTTGAGTTATGGTCTTATGTTTCTGTGACTTTTTCACTCCATACTCCCAAAACACTGAAGTGTTACCAAAATGCAACATTCCAGAGTTATATTAGGAATTAAAAATTTACATTCAGTACAAGAGGTAACTTAACGTAATTACCAAAATCAATTGCACTATACAAAAACATGTATGCAGCACTTTATACATACTGTAACAGGAAAAATGAGGCATTTTTACATCAGCAAGCACTGTCCACCATCAGCATGGATTAATATTTCAACTCCATCTTTTCCACAAATGAGTTATGACTTTAGACAGGTGTAGCTGCTGCTATCAAAATACAATCTAAGAGTCCACACAGAAATGCTTCTGAAATGCTTCTTATTTTATTTTGTTTTTTGTTTTTGGTGGAACCGGGGATTGAATTCAGGCCCTTGCGCTTGCCAGGCAAGCACTTATTCTACTGAGCTATCTCCCCAGCCCCATGAAATAGACACTTCTAAATAATGCTTTAAATACACATTTCCTTTTGAAATTTAAATACAAGAGTAAGTGCTTCAGTAGTGTCCATTAGTGTTTTTTAATATGCCCTGTTTAATTTTTCATAGTTTTCATTGTAAAATATACCATGAGAAATTTTATTAAAATGATTATAAAGATAAGCAAGCTTTGATCAAGCAAAACCCGACAAAACTATTATTTTTCAGAGGTAGGTTTCCAGTATACCAGCAGTTATACATATCAATATTTATCATATTAGAAGCTCAAAAATATATCCAGAACATATTTTTAATGTATTATCATTATAACTTCCCTAGGTTTCTCTTTTTGAAATTTTTTTAAATCTTTATCTTATTTTTTATGTGTTTAATGATCTAAAATAAAGTATATTATTTAAACTTGAAGGAAACATCCACAAATCATTATTCTGCAAACTGTTCTCATTTTAGTTGTAGATGATAAACACTAACCTTCAAATTCAGGAATATTAAAGCTTTTCAAACCTAGACCCAAGTCAATGACTGTGCATTTCTGAACTTTGTTTTCTAGTTTGTAACACAGTATACTGAATTCCAGAGTTGCGAACATTACAGAAAAAATGATGAAGAGCTCTGAACTGTTCTCCATATTCCACATGACTTCAGATCCCCATAGAATGAGTTTACTGTGGGGATATCCAGTGTAAAATACAAGTAACAGCAATGAGTCAGGATTCATGGCCAAACATAACTTTATTAATTTTTCTTATAAACATTGTTTCTTTTAAAAAATCTAGAATTTAGATACTTCCTATCTCATCACAAATCTGTATATATTATTTACAACTTTCAAATAAAACTAGAGATTTGACATTGAGATCTGTTTAAAATAAAAATGATGAAGCAATTAACTTTGACCAGTAAGTACTACAAGTCTGTGTAATCTTGGCACCACTTAAAATAAGAGCATCCAACTTGCATTTCGTATTTCAAACCATTTCCCTCTCTTTCAGCTATATACTTTTTTCTGATGGTATTGGAGAATGAAACTAGGAATCACAAATGTAAGACAAGTGCTCTACCACTAAGCTACAGACACACCACTTTTTATTTGAGATAGTGTCTCACAAAATGTGCAAGTTGGATTCAAACTAGCAATCCTGCCTCAGTCCCCCCAGTACCTCTTAACTACATGCATGCACCACCATATCCAGCTTCCAGCTATAAACTCCACACTGAGCTTCCAGATATACACTATCTCCTGGAATACAGAATCACTGACCTGTACACTGATACATCTGCACAATGGGAATGGTGTCTTATGCTGCCATCATGTAGCACCAGCACTATGTCTTTGCTTTTGTCTTCAGAAATGATGCCTATTCAAAATGTGAGTATTCTCAGGACTGGGGAGACAGCTCAGTGGCATAAGTGCCTGCTTAGCAAGTGCAAAGTCCTGAGTTCAATCCCTGGAACCAGAAAAAAAACCAGTATTCTCTTATTTAGTGTATTCTCTCTCCACCTACATGACACTGCTTCTAGTGGTAATTTTAAGTAACAAAAGTATAGGAAAAATTCAAATAGAACAAAGTATTTCCTAAAAGATTAGTGTCCTTACCACCCTGGTTATGCATGTACAAAAATAACAAATATAATTTAGTGGTTGTAAAAAGCTACTTTCCTAAAAATAGTTATTTCTGCAGACCAATTTAAGAAGAAAAGTTCTCAAATGAAAATGCACTAATCTATTTCACAACGTGCACAATTAAGTATTTCTGAAACAAAAATTAAACTTGTGCAAAACTGTAAGAATGATCCAGGTATAAGAATTTAATAATATATAAAAAAGAAATGAAACTTTCTGTTTGTATCATTAATAATCTCAATTTCAGTGACAAATTTAAAGAAAGTTATCAACAATAACAAACTGACTTGATATTACTTCACAATCACTAAAAATGAACACCTGAAAAAATCAACCTAGATGTTTTGTTTTTGTGTGCACATACACAAGTGCCTCAAAAGGAAGATAAAGATTAAGAAAACCGGAAAAGGACGATTATTTTACTATCATTCAGAATAAAAATTATATGAAAAGAGAAACTTGCTTTACATTTATAAAAATCTTGAGTACTTAATATGATAATCTGCATTTTTTTCTTTTTTTGGCAAGAAGTCATTCAGCTTAAAGTGGCAGACACGGAGTGTGTGCGCGTGTGTATGTGTGTTTTATATCTACAGAGGGAATTCTCTTTATCTCATTATGAAAGCCTGAAAAATTCAAATCATCTGCAGTGAGAATTTTGTTACATGAACTAATTAAACTTCTCCATTAAATCTTGACAGAACTTTACCTCTATCATCTCATACATAATTAAGAGGACAGCTGAACAAAAGTGATTCCTATGGTAAATCCTAACATTAGAACAAATTTTTAAAAATAAAAAAGGAACAAATTTAAAATATTTCAGGGGTCATCAAAGTATACATCCATTTCTAAGAAATGGTACGCTCTTCAAAATCCCTGGTAAATTTGAAAATAAAAGAAGTTTTTCAAAGTATGTAGTCATATTTCCGAATTATGAATAATATGGCCCTCATCTTTCTGAAAAACAATCAAATTTTAAAATTATAAATGATATATGAAAGTTATAAAATTCTTATATTTTGTGATATGTAGGCTTAAAACTGAACATACTCACTACATAAAAATTAGCCCAATTTTCTTGTACAACCAGCCCGTCTTTAAAGTTAAATTGCTCGTTTGAGAAAAACCATTTTTTAAAAAAAAGAATGAAAGTAAAAGCTTTGTTTCCTTAAAACTATTTTAAATATGAGTCCATTTTTCCATATTCTCCAACACAAAACTATCTTATAATAGACACAAATAGAGTTTAAAAGTTTTCAGAAAAGAGGATCCAAAACAAGAAAGTTCTAGAGGAAAAAAATGTTTTTTTTAAAGTACTTAACTGTAAGACAGTTAAATAAAATTATTTTTAAGAAGCCTATACATTCAAATGATATTGTCTACTTTAAAATAGTGACACCAGGATACCAATGATGCAAGTAATGCTTAAAACGTTCTCTTCAGCAAATTCTGAGTCTATGACACACTCCTTTTGCCTAGTGGCTTGCTTCTCCGAAAATAACCAAGTTATTAAACTTGGTTTGTTGATTAAGATAGGTCATTCATATTAAGCTGCCAAAAATGTTTTCGCAAACAAAAGTGATGAAACGATTTTCTTGTGTAATCACCAGCTGATTCTCATGGCATTAAAAGGTGTTGAAAGCATTATGTTTTGCAAGACAGCTGTAATAAGTAGTTTAGTCCTTTCAAGGGACTTACTCTCAAGATCAACTTATTTGGATAAAGGTATGACATACCCATTTTAAAAGAAAGTTTTACAACTTAATACTTTCATCTCACACATTCTACCATTTTAGTGGTTATCAAAGCCGCTCTCAGGGTGTAGAAAAAGCTATAAAAGTCATTGCTATTTATCAATAAAATTATGGAAAAATAAAATTTAAAAAAAGAAAAAGCTACAAAAGAAATCTGTCATTTTTTCACATTTTCCCATACGCAGGGAAAATGTAAAATATAAATACCTACATCATCTCTATTTCCTGGTAAAAGATGTTAGTGCTTCATCTATCCTGATAAGCTAGGCAGTAATGCTATCTGAAATATTTTTTACCATAGCCATATCTTCTTCTACTTAACACATCTTATGCTATTTAGAATTTGTACACAACAGGGAAAGTAGAAAAGTAAATTTTTAGGTACATTATCCTCCAAAACCACCAGCTAACTAATACATGCTTGTTTTAGTGTACTCTACTGCCATGGCTTTATGGGAAATGGAAGTCAGCAAATGAAAGCCATGAGCACCATCTACTATAGTTAATTTTAAAAATTTTACTCTTTCTGGTATTCATTTTTCTCAACTACTACTACTCCATCATTTAAAATAATTCTTGAAACTTGCATCATGTCAACATTTAACCAAAGTTGTTATGAGTACCAATAATACCTTGACAACTCACTACTTTACATTTTGTAGGATCCTGTAATCAAGAAGGATGAGAAAACTGCTTTATAACTATAAAAAACAGGGAGGAAATAATTTACTTGGTTACTTATAAATTAAATAGAAATCTGAAAAGAATCTAAATAGACATTTATAAGCAAGCTCTGCTTTAAAATGAAGCTTTGATTCTTACTTTGTAAAGGGCATCTTCCTAACTCTTACACATAGGAACCAATCAAAGGAAAGCAACCTTTATTAAGTCAGTTCTTTCTCATCTGCTCTAGTATTTCCTTACTTGCAGCCACCTAACACTATGTACCATGCCAGGCATCTCCCTGCAAAAATGTCTATTCCTTTTTACCACCCATAAACATATGTGCATCCTTGCTTGTCAGTAACTGAATACACAAAATACTCAGAAACAGGCACCTAGATTCTGGCAAACTAAAAACAAATTCCTGTCTACATATACAGGGGAAAGTAAATCCTTCCGCCAAATTTAATTTGTGGAAGGAGTCCCCATTTCTACAGTGTACATTAAATGAAAATTGTATTTAGCTATTCTCTCTGCATTTAGCTACTGCAATCATTTTGTTACAAGGCTGACAGGAAATCATTCAATATGGAAGACTATTTGAGGAATTGTGTTTCATTTCCTTAGACAGATAGCACTTAAATATCAGAACACCAAACTTCATTTCTGAACCAGCCCACAGTGCTTGCTATTATCTATTCTGTGTTCTATAAATAAATACTACCAGTAAGCCTCAGTAAGTGTGTTTGCCTCTGTCAGGCTATCCATTACTAGTACTGTTGGTACTTAGTACATTAACCGCTAGAAATGAATGGAGAAAAAGGCAGTTCCTAGTGATCTGAACTGTAAAAATATTAAAGTATTAATGACAAAAACAAACTTATTTTCTTTTCTCCTAAACATCTGTAATCTATTCAGAGCAAGCATCTCCATTGCACAAGTATATGCTTCTAACTGGAAGAAAATTACATATTTCTAACTGAGAAAGCAAATTTACCAAAAATTATAAAACTCAACTTGGAAGTCTGAAGGGTATTTCTCAAGAACAAAACTGAAGTGAAAAAATTAGCATTTATTTTAAAAACTAATTTTCTAAACTTGTTATTGTATTAGTAATGCATTAGAAAGTTCTGTTAACTAAAATTTTAACTACTGAATTAGCATTTTCACTGTTTTATATCACTACAAAGAAAAAGATTCCTTTCACAATGGAAAATCAAGTCAGAATACTTCAAACTGGGCCTATAATATGCAAAGGTATTATGTATCATTTTGAAATGACAGGAAATACCAGTTCCATTCACTGAATGGAAATGCTAAAAAAAAAGATCAGTTTTTCCCAATAGTCCTTAAATCCATGTTTCAAGTCTTTACCTAAATCAATAATGTATTTTTCACTTCTCATGGAAGTTGATTCCTAAAAGGAAGTCTCTAAGATTGTTTATAACTAATTGATTAAAATTATAATGTAATTCTATGGAAAGGTTTTAAGACAGAACTTTCTAGACCTTAATTCCCCATATTTAATTCCATTCTTAATTATCCATATAATAATCCCTTTCCCCAGACAAACATGCTCTATCCCCTGCTCTTCAAAGTAGGTGCTTTTTCTGCAGACTCATGGCTCATTTGGCAATTGCTAAGAAACCTCACAGTTCAGTGTCACCTCTGAAGATGGCAATCCTAAATATATCCCGAAGTTTTATACCCACAGTGTAGTAACATGTAGAAAGACACCACAGTGCAGTTAACATGTAGAAAGAAGTCAAAAGGCAATATGGATTATATTTTAGCATCCTCAAGTTTCAATATCACAGATATTAAAAGACGGAAAAAGACCTTAAGCATTTGTTGAACAGAATATATTACTGTCAATATCAAAAATATTTAAGAAATACTAATTTTTATGTTCTTCATGCACAACTTTACAAATTATGTTTCTTTAATGTAATAAAAGCTGGAGAACACCAATTTGGGTAAAGTATGGCTTTTATCATAGATTATTTTACAGCATGCACCAGTAAGTGCCCTGGATAGTAATCCTAATATTATTTCAAGCCTTGTTCAGTTTTGTCTGTGCTTCGCATCTTACAAGTGAATCTGCCAAGGCACTTTAAAAACATAAGTCTCCTGGGGACTTCACGATGTGACACAATTTATACAACACAGAATCCCATCCATCAGCAGGCATTTTCTTCCAGCACACAATCTTATTCAAACTGCTCACGAAACCAAAATTGTGTTAAAATAAAAAATACTGTCTACTACTAAGACAAAACTTACTCCCTTTCAAATGGAGAGAATGGTTCTTGGTTTCCTCTACTACTAGAGTATGCTTTCAGATATTCAGAATAAAGAAAAGGGAACCCAAGCAAGCCACCCAAACCCAAGATAAAACAACCAAATAAAATATGGCAAAATCCCAAATACGCTCCACACAGTTTCACTTGAGGAATAGTTCGCATAGCTCTGCATTCTTTTATCTATCTTTTGAAGTGAGTTTTTCAATCAGTTCTTGGAGTGGTGCAAGTTCTCTTCTATCAATAAGGTTGAACTCCTATGCAGAAAGAAGACAAAACAAATAGCAAAATCATTATTTCTCTCTCATTTCAAAGCAGATTTGTTGAAAATTAGCTTCTGAAATAAATAAAAGTAGATTTGAATTTTTTTCCTTTGGTATTTGCTCTGTGTCCTACGCAAATCACTCAACCTTTTCTTATATTATGTTTTTAGTCTATAATATTACAATTTATAAAATTATTTACAAGGACTAAATGTAATGATCGATGTTAAATGTTTTATGTAATTCCTGGGACAAAGTAATATTTAATACACAGAAGTTGCCATTTATTTTTAAAATAATGTAGGCACCATTTAAATGTTTCAACCAAATGTGGAGATAAAAAAGTTTGCTTAGCTGGCAAACTTGGGCATTACATGAAAAGTAAAGCTTGGTTGTAAATAAATGTATCTGTAGGACCTTCTAAGATATGGTGTGAGGACAACATGAATAAAGGAGAACTGCTGTGTTTAATTTGAGCCTTTTTCTTTTTCTGGGTAGTGGGGACTGAATCCAGGGTGTCCCAAAGCTAGATATGCCCTCTACCCCAGAGCTACACTTGTGGCACCTAATCTGTGCTTTTTACAAGTTCCACCTTAGTACCAATAACAGAAAAAAGGTTTCACCTTTGTCATTCTAAACTCCAAATTTAATTCATTTATTACATGTGCCAAAAAACTCTATGAGAATGGAGAAGTATTACAGTATATTAACACTTTCCTGGCAAGTGCAAGGGTCTGAGTTCAATTCCCCGTTCTGCCAAAAATAAATAAATACAGTATATTAAATAACAGGCTCACTCTCAGATGTGTGGAGTCTGGGCCAAGAACACAAAGGGATACATATCACATGACCAAAGTATTAAATTCACATTAAGTTGATATTTTAAATAAGTCATTGATTCTTTGACAAAATGTATCTTCAGAGTAATCAGGAAAACATTCAACTTTGTAATTCTTTAAATTCCTCAGGCTACTACACAGAAAGTAGTAACAGAAAAGGAGTCCTCAAGAAAATGCCCTGCTCTTCTAACAGCTTACTCCATCCTGAACCTCAGGGTGCCTTATGCAACCAAGATACTCTGGTGACATATATGGGTAATGTCCAGCTATCCTTACAAAAATAAACCATCATCTGGCTACTCCTCAGATATTGAAGTATACCTATTTGAATGTGTTCTGCCCTTCAAAGAATAGACTCAAAGAAAAGATTCACAGGCCCTGAAAATACACGTGGGACCATGTAAGCAGAGAATTCTGGGATCTCGAGTATCACAGGATATCCAGTAGGGATCTTGATAGATACATTCTTGGGCCTGTGATCCTCAGCTGTAGCTGGAATTGTTGGGCCTACGGAGGTACCACTCTTAATCAAAGGATGTTATACCATTAACTAATAACTTCACAGTGTCCTGAAATGTCATTATGATCAGATATGGTATATCAATCCCCTATATTTGCTAGGACTCAAAAATTCAAAGTAAAACTAACCCTTGTGTAGGGAAAAGTAGCTTTCTTCTAGAAAACTACTTATTTTTAGCACTCATATTCTATCCACGTCACAGCATAGGGGCAGATTCTGAGATGTCTCCTATGTTCCTGTGGGTCCATAGATGGAGCATTACATAAAATAATTCTTCAAAGCAAAAGTTTTAGCAAATTTTAGTATCTTAAAAAGTGTTTTTATGGTGAAACTGAGACATAAAATAAGTGCCTTCAGTGTAAGAAGTACATATATATACAGAGAAAATGGACACATTTTTCTTTACTGCATATGGGAAGTAAAGAAGTACCTGTGCTGCCCACAGATATACATACACAACATAATGTCGGGCCGGGAAGTTGGCTCAGTGAAATAAGCACTTGCCTGGCAAGCGCAGTGGCCTGAGTTCAATCCCCAGTTCCTCAAAAAAAAAAAA